TGTAAGCCAAGTCCATCTATAATAGCATCTAAGAACTGCAGTGAGTCACTGTGGTACAGCCCAAAATACGTAGGTGGCCATTAAGGCGCTACTGTTAGAAGAGTGAAGGATTTATCATACAGTATTGAGTGATGGCAGATCGTTTGTCCACTGTGTGCCATTCCGGAGTCTTTTAAAGCATCTTAAATTACATTCTAGCTTAGGTCCGCCATTGTAACTTTATTTTGGTGTCTGCTTGAAGTGCAGCAATACATCACACAAAATAATGAAGGACAAGTTTTTTTTTTTTGGCTTATACAGGACTTTCACTTAAGCTGTAGTGATCCCTCCTTGGGGGCATTTGGGAATGTAGGAACACAGGTAAAGTATAAACAAGAGCTGGAACAGTATTTCAAAATGACACAGAATGCTGTTCTAAGCTAAATAAAAACTGACATCTTAATGACACAATCACATCCAAACCTTTTGAAAGGTAGCTACATCATTATTTGAAGAAGTATTAAGGGGTCCTATTATACCCTTTTACAAAATCTTGATTTGGATTTGGGGTGTACTAAAATAGGTTTTCATGCTTGATTGTTCCAAAAACGCATTATTTTTCACATATCTAACATTATTGCAGCACCTCTCTTCCAAGTCTGTCTCAAACGCTGTTTAGTTCCTGTTTCGATGAAACCTCTCCTTCCCAAACACGAAATGTGCTCTGATTAGTTAGCTGGCCCAGTGCATTGTGATTGGCGAACCGCTTAAGAGCGTGTTCCAGAAATGTCACGCCCCTTCCCATAACTGCGAGTTTCATCTGCTCAGCTGTAAATATTAACGATGGTGTCAATTTTGCCTTAATAATTCAAGTCTGTTTCACACCCTGAGAATGTTTACGAACAAAAGGATCTTTGCAAGCACATATAAAGGGGTTTTGCAAACCAGGATGGAAGAAGCAGCATCTCTTTGCCATGGTGACAACATGCTGGGGGATTATTTAAATGAGTGACAGTGTGATTTCACAATATCCAGACGAAGCGCACTGTAGCCCAGAAGAGCCGTTTGTTGTAGTTCTTGAAAAGTATTTTCTGTTAAAGAGAATATCTCTTTTCAGAGTGGACTTTGAGCTTTGTAACCTTGTAGATCTTTTTTATGCTCAAACAGCAACTAACTAAAGGTTGAAAAAGAGAAAAAGCATATTAGGACATTTGAAAAATTAACTAATGGGACCTACATAATGTTTTTGCTAAAATTACACAAATAAATTACATCAAACAAAAAGCAGCTGCTTTGTTGTTGTTTTTAAAGTTTTTTTAAACATATATTTTTGTCATTTTTACTATTACATATTTTATTTCAAATATTTCTTTTTTATACTAGGACACAAAAAACTATGTGACATAAACCGATCCAGTGCAGAGAGTTTTATTGTGGCTGACATCATCAAAGAGTGACATCAGCAAAGTGTCTTATAAGCTTGTTAGAGATGAGTTGGCTTTTACCCTTCAAGTGGGTTTTTCTGTGAGTTACTGTGTTTTTTATAGGCACTAATTTGGCACAGCTGGTGACATCATATGATCTAATGTGCCAGTGCAACCTCAATCTATTGTTAAATGAATAACAAGAAAATTTGAGAGTATGTGGGAGATGGATAAGCGAAAAAGGAAGGACTGTGTGTCTGTACACGTCCGCCTGTAAGTGTATGTTACATATTTAATTTATGTCAGCCCCTCTATTTTGTTCTTTTCTCCGATAATGCACCTCTCTAATACAGATGGGATAAAAGCAGCTTCAATGGGGCAGAAAACAGCTTTAGTGTTTAATTCGCCTGGCTCTCTTTCCTTCTTTTCCTCCAGTTTTCTTTCTCTCTCTTTCTCTCTGCCCTCTCATATAGACCCTAAACGCATATGCCCAGACCTCATTCTAGAAACTGAACATGTGAACCACATAAAGCAGCTCATCGAATATTCAGTCCTGCCCCCTCAGTGTGCATTAGGGCCTGTGTGTTAGTGCTCCCTGCCCTTTCTTTCCCATATGAGAGGCGGAAGCATGGTTAAAAAGATGCATCCCAGCACCTTCATTTTTAATAACATGAGAACGAAAATCTGGGTTCATAGTGAAGCGAAGCATCCTCCAGGACCCCCACTTACACACTCTCAAAACACACTCATGCACCCCCCAGAGTACACAGCAAAAAGACATGCAGTTGAACTTGATCAAAGCAGGCCAAGAAACACAGCGGTACAAGAGAGAAAGGATGTATAATACTACAGAGATAAAGGCCATTTTGAAACATTTTAAAGGGATAGTTCACCCAAATATTAAAGTTCTGGAATTATTTTTAAGTCGCTCCAAACCTAAAAGCTGTCATTTTTTTCAATGGATCACAAAAAGACACATTTTGAAGAATCTTTACACGATTCTGTCCAACTCCTACTTGTTCAAGTCTCTCCTTTTGTGTTTCATGACAAAAAAGATGACTAATATAACAGGTGCTGCAGTTAGAGATCAACCGATAATCGGGATGGGTCTATCTACAAATAGTGCTTAATAATAGTTGATAATATTACTGTACATCCACTTGTGGTATACTCCTGACAGTATAGTAAAATTATACTCTTTACTTAATTTTCATACAATTTGTGATTTGGCAAGACAATCATGTTGTGTAGAAAATCAGTCCTGTGGTAACCATCTTGTATGCAAAAGTTACAATTTAGAATGCCAAATGTTAACAGGTGCTGCAGTTAGAGATCAACCGATAATCGGGATGGGTCTATCTACAAATAGTGCTTAATAATAGTTGATAATATTACTGTACATCCACTTGTGGTATACTCCTGACAGTATAGTAAAATTATACTCTTTACTTAATTTTCATACAATTTGTGATTTGGCAAGACAATCATGTTGTGTAGAAAATCAGTCCTGTGGTAACCATCTTGTATGCAAAAGTTACAATTTAGAATGCCAAATGTTAACATGTTCTATGGTACTTTGAAATCAATTAAATATGTCTAACACTACATTGTAACATTAAACTTAACACAGTTAACACATTTACCTAATTTGACAGTGAAGCAGTTTCATTCTGTTCAGTCTAATCAGAAAGGCTGAAACCAAACACATCACAACAGAGGTTATTTATATAAATAATTAAAAAAGTGCTGAGAAAAGGCTTACTTCATTTGTTTGCAAATACCATTTGAATTGAATTGAACTGTAACCGTTTATTATCATTATATGTAGCAGATTTGGATCAGTGCATATTAGAGTTCATGATGGTTATGACTCTGGGAAAGAAACTTTCCTTGAATCTATATGTCCTTTTTTTAATGGACCAGTAGCGCCTGCCCAAGGGCAGCAGGTCAAAATTTTACTATTAAAAGCAAGAATATGCAAGAAAATTAATACGTGCCTATGTACACTTCCACTTTTTTTTAAAGAAATGTATACTTCTATTCAGCAAAGATGCATCGAACTCATCAAAAGTGACAGTAAAACATTTATAATGTCACAAAAGATTACCATTTCAAATAAATGCTGAAATGCTGTTCTTTTTGAGCTTTCTATTAATAAAAGAATCCTGGAAAAATTCTAAGCACAATAACCATTTTCAACTGTGATAAGAAATGTTTCTTGAGCACCAAATTAACATTTCAGAATGTGACACTGAAGGCTGAAAATTCAGCTTTGCCATCACAATCTTACTGACTCCTTATTAAATGTGAAAAGGATCAGACAGTATAATTGTGATATTTTCCATCTTTCTGTTTCTGTTTATTTCAGACTTGGAAATGCATTGTGCTTAACGTGTTATTGCACAGCCAATATAGCCAGCCAAAAGGAACTCTGGGAGATGATTTAAAGAAGGGATGAGAAGTGTTATGGGAAACAGCAAGCAGGGGGCCTCTTAATGTTTGAGTTTCATTCACATCAGCCCCAGCATTTGACTACCTAAGCAGTGCTTCCCTCCTGAAGAGTCTCTTCAATTATTACCCTCCAAGCTCTACAGCAGCACCGGGGCCTAATGTGTCAAAAAACGAAGTCGGAGGATGTAGCTCAGAGGAAATTAGATAATGATAAATCTGAACCTTATGAATTCTAAGCACCTTTCAATATATACTTGCCATCACAAATAACTTGTCATACATACAATGAGAGCATAAGAAGACAGTAAAACAAAAATATAAAGCAGCACGTAATCATAGAAAACTAAACGCACATTGCGTAAGAATTAAAACTTTAAAAACACTGTCTGGTTAAAGTGAGAAATAGTTCCTAACCATGAGCTTTGACAAAGTAGCACAATCCACTTACTTTGTAGTTGTATTTCATCACTGTTAAAAGAGATTGTGTGTTCATCTAAAATTATCAAATCACTATTTGGAAGGATAGTTTGAAGTGAACTCAGCCAGATGATGCAACAGGATGACATGGTCGCCTACAAGAAGTTTTTTGAAGTTTCTACAGTTCATGTGGATGAACACTGTGTAGTAATAGCCTAACAGTCAAATTTATCAGTTTGATAATGTATTAAAACATCATCAGATTGATGTTTAATGTAAAAATGAAAACAGCATCAATGAATCGATTTGCAATCATAAACTTTCTTCGATGCTAAACTGTCAGCTTTGTCACTAACCCGGCCACAGGTTTCTGTCACACCCACACAACTGCAACCGATTTTGCTATAAACACAGCTCATTGCCAACTTTGCAGAAACAAACAGACAGACAGAGGGACAGTGACAGGAAGACTGGCAATCCGTCAGGCTTTATCTGATGCAGATGGCATGCTGATAAAGAAAATCTGTCAGGTATCTGAATTGTGTCTCGTTTAATGCCACACAGCTAGACAATCCAAAACATGACATTGAATATTTGAAATCAAGCTTTCTGTTTAGGCCTTGATGCCAGATATGATGAAATATTCAGAGGTGGGTTGCTGTAAATGTCTAGGCAAAGTAGACAACAAATAAAGCGCATACCGCCAGCAAGAGAGGAATGCATGCTTACCTTTTCGGCCATTGTCATGGCAGAGCCACCATGGATTCCCAGTATGGGCATGGAAGTCTGAGAGGAAACAAAGTCCAGCATCTGTGCCACAGCTTCCTGGTCCGTGCCGTCTCCATAGACCAGCCCGTGCAGTCTCTGTCGGGACATGAGCTCACACAGGTGTGTAAGCATGCTTCCTGGGTCCGTCTGGTTCACCTGGATGCTGAGAACAGTCACATCCAAAGGCGCACCTATCCCACGAGCCGGACGCAGGGCTGATTCGGATACGGTGGGGGTCTGGCCCAATATCACAGCTACACTCAGGGACGGAGGCTTCTCTGCAGCCTGCGACCAACCCAGCAAAGCCCATAAGACCATCAACCAGACTACAGCTCCCATCATTCCTGGCTTCAGCCCCTGTCAAGATGAGACATTTTAAAAGGATGCAAAACACAGTCAGTCTTACCAAATCATGCTTACTAGATCCAAACTAGACCAAAATCAGATAACACACAGACATAAATTACATCTGACCTATTACTTTGCACGCAATGATTCAGTGGAGGGGGACTGGAAATGAATCGGAAGCGAATCTCTGTTCAACTACTCAATCATTTCAAGTCAATACTTTTCTATTAGTCTAAACAGTTCAATAGAACAGTGGTTCACTTATTAGCAATTAACTCTGATGTACAGTCTTGCAATATGTCAGTGTGGTTACATTTAAACGGCCCGTCTAATTGATAGGACTCTTCAATAGTTTATTACGATTCTAGGCGGAATGTGATGCCTGAATGATTCCAGATGGCTAGTGTGTCTGTCTCTTAAATTATAGTAATAATTGATGAAACCATGCACTAACTGGAGTGCATTATAATTTCATGAGTGAAGAACAGCTTACACATGGTTAAATTTAAGTGCACTGATGTCAGCGGTTCAAAGATGGTTCAATCTCAAGAGATTGTAAAAGTCAACCTCAGTATGGAAGAAACTGTACTCATTGCTTAAAGGAATAGTTCACTCAAAATTGGTCATCATTACTCACCCCCATATCATTGCAATTCCACCTGACTTTCTTGTGTTCCGTGGAACGGAGCAAAAGGAGATGTAGTCTGCTACAGGAGCTCTATTCCATACAACATAGTGTACTCGACAACTCAATCGGCACCTACCCGTTCATTTTCGCTGTATGGAAAACAGCAGTGTGAACATACTTCAAAACATCTCCTTTTATGTTACTCAGAAGAAAAATCATACAGATTTGGAATGACTAAAGGGTGGGTGAATGACTGACAATATTCCTTGAAACATATATATCGATTGTTGTCCTGTTCATTTGGCTCCTTTTATCAAGGTAGAGATACTTTGCTATCAAACATGCTTTGATAGCAAGACTGATCGAATTCACGCTGAACTTTCAGTCTCAGAAATGTCACTGGATACACCTGCTTCATCCCTGGAGTTTAGTCATCAGTCATATTTGCACCTCCATTTAATTCACCGACTACCCTGGGCCACAGCCAATAACCACAGAAACAGTACTCAGATAATGTTGAGAATTATGTTATAACAAAAATATATGCACTAGTACAGTAAAATATCCTGTTTCTTGTTAAACTCTGGTTGAGAATGTCATTGGTAACACACAAACAGGACATATAAACAGCAGCATCATAAAATTGTGTCAGTTTGTCTCTTAATATACTGTATGTGCCAGGGCATGTAATTTAAAATCAATACTCATCATGACATAAAAATCAATAAAATGAAATCAACCCCACAGTCTCCACAGCTTGAATTTTGGGAGTTTGTTTTGGGTGCTCAGCAATGAACGATGTGATAAGAATGTGCTGCCATCAGCTACAGCAGATACTACCATTTTATATCACCAGTCCTCAACAAAGGACAAAGCTTAATGCAGAAGCTCATACTGTAAGTGCACAGCTTAACAGAAAATGTCCTACACTGGAATATTACACTGAATATATTGCAAATACTTCTATATGGGAAGTTGAAAAATAATATGGGCATGAACGTTTTCAACATCAGCACTTTTGGACAAAACTTATATTTAAAGGGGTCCTATTATGCTCTTTTACAATGTCTTGATTTTGTTTAGGGGGTGTACTAGAGCAGGTTCGCATATTAGATTGTTCGAAAAACACATTATTTTTCACATATTTTACATTATTACAACATCTCTCTCCCCAGTCTGGCATGAACGACTCTAATAGTTCCTGTATCAAATGAAGGCCCGCCTTCTGAAATACGAAATGTGCTGTGATTGGTTAGCTGGGCCAGTGTGTGTTGTGATTGGCAGCACTCCGGCGCCTGGTCGTGAAATATCATGCCCCTTACCATAGCCACCTGCAGCTTCAGTGTAAATATTGCGTCAATATCAAATCCTTTGAGCTTTGTAACTTTGCAGATCTTTTTTATGCTCAAACAGCAAAATGACAGACTAACTAAAGTTGAAAAAGTGAAAAAGCATAATAGGACCCCTTTAAATAAGATCTATTTATCTAAAACAACACATATAATAATATAAAGAAAAATTGTTATATTTAGATATTTGACGTGTGTGTGTGTGTGTGTGTGTATACACAAACACACACACACACACGCACACACACACACAGACAATTGATTATTATTGATATTTAATAATAGTTTTAATAACAACATTGATATAGCAATGCATGAACAGAAGAAAAGTGGATGACTACCACCTGATGTATTATATAATTCCTCCTACAATGTCATTTTTGAATAACTGAAGCAAAGACTTTTTAAATACTTGACAAATTAATAATTTATTGATGCGTTTTCAATTGTTGGCAAACATAGGAGATAGTAAGAGGGTTTCGCTTCTGACAGCTAAAACATTCAGCTGTATTGTGAAGCATACTAATTAGTGCCAATCACATAATTGCATAATTGCTTTCTTGATGGTTGCACTGGCAGTTTGTGAGGGTACAAAAGTGGTACATGCCTCAATGACCACATTAGAGATTCCAGAGACAGGCTGTTGTGCTCTGTTGCCCCTGTAACTTTCTCATTTAGCATACTTGCTAACGTCCATAATTTGCATACTCACCGAACTACCCCAGCAAAGCAACCATGCCCTTAAGTCTAACCCGGAGTAGCACTCAGCGTTTGCAAACGTAGAGCATCACTCTACATCTCGTTCTGCATGTGCATCTGTCAGATTTGTTGGATACAAGTAAACGGTGTGTAATGTTTTCAGTCACATTAGACATCACCTTCACTCTAAGCTTGCAGGATACAACAGAAGAGAAGCCAAGGTTCAAAATAAAGACAATTAGTTTCGCTCACATACAAAACCAGGCTCATGGCTTTTTATGCATCAAAATTTAAGCAACGCTACCAGACACGTCTTGCCAATAGGAGTGTTTGTATGAGTAAGGTTTGAATATATGTCTGAAAGTACCAACCACAGTTTTGATGGTCTGTCACAGCCCATATTTCATAATTCAGAACCACAACGTAAAGTGCCAAGTGCAGATTGGCTCCTCTGTTAGCAGAATATCACCGCTGAGATCACTTCTCTTCGCAGGCGAATGGGGAGGTTGTGGGTGGATTTCTGAGTTTGACTGTGTGGAAAGTTGGAGGGGTCAATAGTTACGAGTACTCTCAAAATAAGCACCTGCACTAGGTCCTCTTCCTCCATCCATCTCTTCTTCTGACCAGCATGTACACTCATATATTCTTCTCTTTAATGTCCAAAACATATTCTACCTAAGTAAATGAATGCAGACACTTCTAGCTTTGCAAGCTTATGAAATGTGTGGAAAACTATGGTATTATAGCCTATAGTCTTATAAAGTCTCTCAGGTCAACTGTTGTGGTGAAGCAACAGTTTGAAGAAAATCTTGCTATGGAAGTTTAAAGTCAGTATGCTTTATTGCAACTTTCATTTTAAATGAAAGTTTACAGCAACTTTCATTTTAATTGTCAGAAATTCTGAAGGTAACTCCATTGCCCCCTTGAGTCCTGAGGTGTTTTACCACCATAAGAGCACACAAGTATGTTCAACAGGGCAGTGCATTAGCCAAACACTCATGTATGTGTTCGCGTATTTTGATTAAATTATGCTTCTGGCCTAAGGCGTCACACTGGCCCAATATAGCAAATGTAAGAATACATTGCTGTATATCTGTGTGTTCAGTTAAGGTCATTTTATCAATATGTGTATAAGTATCTCTATACATGAATGTGTGGGTAGGGACTCGGAGGGGGTGGTTTTGAAATATTTCAGCTTCTAAAATTGTATCCTCCATTGCAGGAAAGACTATTTCAGGCCTGGTCCTGTAAGCAAGAGGAAAACATCAAAAATGTGCTTGGACAACGTGACTGCACCCAAATCTGCAAGTCCCTCATTCCTCTTTTAGACTGAACCCGCGAAACAACGGCGCCCCCTGTCGGATCTCCCTGTCAGCCGCTTCACACATATTACTAAACGTTCAATTTTTAAATCGTATCTTACCTTGCGTGTCACGAGGTGTCAGTGAAGAAGACTCGCCGTGGTTGAAATGTGCCATCTGTGAAACTGACCGATATCTTGTGAATGTTATCCACGAAGATTTCCTCACAGAGAAGGCGCGTTTGTCGGCGCATTTTTTTCAGACCTTCGGCGAACCACCTTGACAGGAGCTTAAGTATTCAATGTTCTGGGAAAAAAAGTCAACCAAAATCCTTACACCAGGTCAGCAAAAATGACAGAGCTCATTATTTAGTGTATTTCTATAACTTCTCGCTCGTGTTCAGTAGTCTATGAGAGAAAAGCCACACCAAAAGGCTTCGCGAGTGGGCTCGCGGGCAAACTGATCTGCGTGGAAGCGTAACGGTTCCCCCGCACGGAACCAATAACCTCAGAGGCTGACTACAACATAAACGTGTTTTAAAGAACACAGTGAGCTTCGAGAGTGTAGTCAGTGATTAAAAGGTGTGTGTTTAAATAACGGCCGGTGTGGTATTCCCCTCACGCGCGCTCGGGGTTTGTCTCTATGTAGGGCGCTCGCTCGCGCAGCAGGTGTTGCGCATCAAGGCGGTTGAAATAATTTCTCCCGTCACAAAAATAAGCCGACGATTTCGTCAACGGGAAGCTCCAACGACTCCCATTTGGCTGAGAGAGCGAACCCACATTTGGTAAGGACAATAATACGTGAATAATACGTTCTTTGATGTTTTATTGAAAGTAAAAAGAGAACAACTCACCTAATATCCTCGTTATACATTTCCAATATACCAATCAGGAAATTAAGCCGTGTCCTCAGTCTTCATCGTATAACCTTGATCTTTCTTTATAAACAAATCCGTCAAGTTCAGCGCTCTTAACGGCGTAATTCCACCAGTGTCCTTGTGCTTACCGTGTCCATTCCTTACAGAGATTAACCAGAAAAAGGAAAGGGAAAAAACGTTCAGTGATTCAGTCGACATACACCAACCACATGGATTTTTCACCTTAATATTTCTGTATTTTTTTTCTGAGTCTCGAGCGCTTTCCGCGGTGGAGCTTGTGGAACAGGTCCGCGTGCCGCCTCCGAGGGGGATTCCGTCAATATAGCATCCTTTCGGAGAAAACAACAGTAACACGCCGTATTCAGTCGTTAAAATGTCGATAACGGGGATGAGATCTATTTTGGATACAGATTCCTCTGCGACACCATCGACTGAACTCGAGACATCATGGCAAACTGTCGAGCGCATGTACGCTCCTTAACATCTTAGCGCGGATCTGAGACTGTACTTGCCAATGCCTCCTACGCGCTCCGCGCCAAATTCAACTCAATTCTCTTACCTTGCCACCTATAATTAAACACAAACGTACGTTTCATAAGGCTATGTATACGGATTTGATACCTGTCTATGCAAACAGACTAGTCTTATCGCTTATCTATTTGAGGAAAACATTTGGTTATGAGGTGCGTTCATATTTCCATCCAACTTTACAGACCATTGCTCTCAGACGCACACTCCATGAATCGAGTAGATGTTAGATTGAGTCTCTCTCTCTCTCTCTCTCTCCATCACACACATGAATACAGTCAAATGATAATGAGCGCCATTAACAGTCCCTGCGCACGGTGGGCGCGTCAAAACTGTGGAAAATTCTCAACCACACGAAGCCTCCGTAAACAAGCCATTTTCCCGCTCGATGTTGTAAACCCATGTCCCATCTACTGTCGCCTCCACGTGTTAAAGAAAGCAAAACCGTTCAACGAACCGACTCCTGTCTGTCTCAGTGAAAACGGTGATTTTGCGTTTGCTCCGTTTGCACCAAAATTTGTGGTTTGTTATGAGTCAGACGCTCCCAGCTGTGTATTTTCCCTGTAGGAAATCCACGGGAGCCGTTATGATCCTCAACTCATCCAATTAAATCAAAAGATTTTATGCTTTAAGATCATTCACTAAGTCAACGGGAAAACTGCCTGACAAGTCTATTTAAAGTCTTTTAAACTACGGATTATGACAGCGTGTTTAAGTATAGATATACAGAAGGCACGTGCCCCCTCAGATTTTTGAGCCAAATGGATTTTAATCCAAATAGTCGTATCTTTAAACAAAATTACTGCACCATTACTGTGGGTTACAAAAAGTGTTTGTCTTCTGGTCATGTCTAACCTTTCAAAATCTGCTCCACAGAAAGTTCAGCAGATTTCCACAAAATTCAGCACCCTCACACATAGTTTTCGATTACTCCTTTACCTGTCAATAATAGTACAACACTCTCAGCTGTTTTAGTACATTTCTACAATATTGAAATTCATTTTAAAGATTCTCCCCAAAAATAGCATATTCCACATGGGCCTAGTCATGTCTTATATCTCCTAGGGTATGTGAGTCAGAACTGCCACTGATGCCCCCTGAAAAAACATCTCTGTATAGATATATTTAAAATGATGCATATCTACTCCAAAAGAGATGGTCAAACCTTATTTTAAACAGTTTAAACAGGTCAGTTTAACAGATTTTTAAAGCATTGGTAGCACTTTAAACTGCTATGCATAACACAGACTAGCCAGCCCACTATTTTATGGTTACAGGAAACTACACTTTTGTAGTGTAACACTACAAAACAATTTAACAGACAAATCATTCAACCATTTAACATCAACACACAGGCATGTATATGCAAGCTCAGCAACATAGTCTTCCTATTTGTCCTCACACGCATTATAATTAGGCCTACTCATTCCTTACAGGTCAACCTTTAAATACTAATATATTCATATATATTTAGAAATTACCCATTTCAACAACCTACATTTCATGCATAGAATTTGAAGAAAAAAAAGCTGGATACAACGTCATATAATCTCATACCTCACATACATCGTAATGTACTGCTGCTTTTATGTTACCCCCAGCGTTTTTGTCTCCCTCAGCCAACAAATCATGTTCCAGTATAGGCTGGAAAAGGACGTTTTACAGTTCAGTGAACAAATTTCAAGATGATAAACTTTACCATTTGTAACAGCAGGTCCATTGTGATTATCCATGTCTGTGTATCTAAGTTTGGAAACCTATGCCCATTATCTGCTTGCTTGAGCAAATAATGCAAATTCATGGCTCAAAGGGAACTCTGATTTGCTTTGGCAGGAAAGATTTTCCTTTTCTTTTTCAGATCATACATGATCTTATATACAAGACACATCAGAACAATTCAAATTTTTCAGAACATTTACAGTAGCAGAATCTAAAATCGGAACATAAAACTTCCAGTGGCTCAAACAGTAGAGAATGGTGCTAGACATGCCAAAGTTATGCGTTCTGATAAATTGTATATCTCGAATCGAAAGTAAATTGCTTTGGATAAAAGCATCTAACAAAAGCATGTTTTCTGGAATGGATTTCTGCTAGCTAACCATTCTATTAATTAATTCATTGTCTAATTAGAAAACACAGGTTTATGTTTATGTGTGGGCACAGAAGCAGTATTGAAGCTCCAGAGTATCTGTAACAATTATTAACAAATCTTTTATGTGTGTGAAAGACACAAGCACTTATTTGTGTGTATTAAATCAGCCCTAATGTGGGGTTAAACTGGGTCAAATTAGGAGTTGTTTACTTATTAAATGAAAGCCCAGAACTGACTTGAAAGTAGTTGGCAGGTAATTATCCAGAAAGCTCTTACTAAAACAATTTTACGACTGAGAACAGATAATACATTTTAGACATATGTTCTTTTAAGGAGAGAGCTACACACAAATGACATGCTTTGGCAACAGACACAAGTTCATGTTGACTAATGAAGATCCCATTTCCTTGGACTGTTCAGATTTACAATAAACATTTCATTTCCCACATCTCACATCCACTAACAAACAAATATGCACAACTTCATGAATAAATGAAGAAGGAATTAAGAAATAAAGGAGTAAAGAAGAAATGGAAGAGAGGTTTGCATGAGTCTGTCATGAGCACAAAAAAGTGGGAAAATTCTGTCTCCATGGTAACCCAATTTTCAGTGTCACCACTTTTGTTACCAAACAGACCATGCTACATTACATAAAACGCACTCACATCCCCCTTCACACACAGACAAATGTGCGCACACACTCACAAACATACATTCACTCAATAGAACAGCGGTCTCACTCTAACAATAGTATTTGCATGAGTTTTAGCTTTGACGCACCATAATATCTCGATGTCTCACTTTTACTCTTTAACACACTATCCCACAAACTTCTTGAGTATTAGTGATTCAAAACGAAACACTAAGACAATGTTTACTATAATGTTAATTATGCAATTATGAAAATTTGCATTTGTAATTAATATAAATTAATCATAATCCCTAATGCATCTATCTTAATACACAACAAACAAAAACAAATGCACTCTGATGCGCATGCATGGCCAAACATATAACATGCATGCTTTCACACATACCGTACAGTAGTAAACAACTCAATTTATTACATTGATTCCTGTTTTATATTCTCAGTGCAGAATGATACCGTATATAGTGTGAAATGATGTTAAATAATGGATTCAGTATTATCACAATGCAACGTGGAGGCTGCCAAACTATCAGAGGTCATCTCAGCCAACACTGATACTAATTCAATAACAAAAGCCATCACAAACACATACTGTACATTAAAGATTAAAGTCAGAAGTCAGAAAGAGATTTATTGCCAAGTATGTTTGCACATACAGGGAATTTGTTTTGGTGACAGATGCTTCGAGTACACAGAGACAACAACAACACCCAGGTAATAAAAAATAAAGAAATGTGAATAAAATACACATATGTATATATATAAATAAACAAAAATAGACAAAAATTGTACATTGTACATGTGTGCTATAGATGGAATAATATGTAGGGATAGACTAAGATGGGTGGTATCAAATAAATATAAGTGGTATTGCACATATTTTTATTGCACAATGGGGAGAGCATTTAAAGGGGTCATATGATGCGATTTCAATTTTTCCTTTCTCTTTGGAGTGTTACAAGCTCTTGGTGCATAAAGAAGATCTGTAAAGTTGCAAAGACTAAAGTCTCAAATCCAAAGAGATATTCTTTATAAAAGTTCAGAGTCAGCCACACCTACCTAAAACGGCTCGTTCTAACACACCCCCACATACCTACGTCACGATCTCGGAAGATTTGCATAACGCTTCCCAAATGTTCACGCAAAGAGAGAAGGCATAACTTTTATTCTCGCTGTAGTATTGTTGCCGCCGCCGCCGCCATGTCGTGAAGGCGCTGTGTTCGTTGTGAAAGCGAA